TGATGAACACGAGTGCTGCTGCCAAGTCTGCTGATAAATAAAAAAGGATAGGCAAAGCCTTATGGTTTTTGAAAGGGGCAACAGAAACTCAGCGCTCGAGGCAGCAAACACAATTTGCAGTAACAAACAGATCCAAGTCCAAGAGCAGCTCAGTTGTGATATTCAACCCGATTTTCCTCTTAAACATCTGCTTTCAACAGCAGAGAAATCGATAGCACTAACAGCAACTAGGATCAAGCTGATGGGGAATGCTGCAAACTTCTCCAAGCAGCCTTCCTCGTTCGCTTCATTTATCACCTACTGCCCTCAGCTCTCCCAGCTCCAGGCATGCTCCCCTCCACCTCGGTTCTGCGAGCAGGACTAATTTTCATCAGAGACAAGGTAGGAGACTAATTACAGTACACATTTCATTTGTGAAGGGACCCCAGGGAGAAGAGGAAGGGGAAGACGGCTCCTTGCTTGCTCTGTCACCTAAACAGTTTGTACGTGTTAGTGTAGAAATAAGTATGACGACAGCAAACTGATGCCTAAGGAGCAAGTCACCCATTAACCTAACACCCGCCACAGTTCACACCCACCACCATTTATATGCACCATTAATATTTATAAGGATGACGTGTCTCTTTGACAGGAACCCGTGCCTCCGACGACAACAGATGTTACACCATTTATGAAAGAAACTACTCAAGCATTTCCAATGGACCTTGTCCATGCTCATCATGTCTTTATTCGTGCTCTGATTACATTATCCACGGAGAGCCTGGGTGACCTACTGACTCAAGCCCAAGAACGTGGATGGCAGCATACTTGCCTGTAGAGTCCTTAAAACTTTTCAGAGTTGCACTATGTCTCTGTGGAGCTTCTTCTGGGAGCCGGAGACCTTTCAAATGCACTTGATAGCTCAAACAGAAGCGTGTGAGGCATTACGGGGCAGACTCCCCCATCTCATGAGGATTTGCCACTTACTGGGGCCTCCAGAACACATGGCAAGCAGCTGAGGCTGCGGGATTGTCTCCCACAATTGCCTTTGCCGCTGTTACCGCAGCTGCATTAGCGATCATACATGATCTACGAAGAATTAAGACCTGTCATATGCTGCGTTATACTGCTCTACGCGTGGACTTGCAGGAAAACACAAGCAGCAAAGCACTGGTCCCGTTATCTCTGCTAAAACGATGCTGCTTCTCAGCTAAACTGTCATTTATATCATGCATGGGAGCACCAGCTGGTGGCAGGACAGATCCTCCTGCTCGAGCAAAGGCTAAATTCCCACCCTCCGTTGAGGAGAAAGCAGCACCTGCACACCTCCCCATCAGCAAACAGTAGGACGGGTTTAACCTGGAAAGAAAGATACAGGTAAGTCGACGGGTTTGCCAAAGTCTCCTTCAGGAACCACCGCGTGTGGGCAAGCACTGAGGTATGAGACAGGGCATCTAAGGAACATTTTCTTTTACTAGATTGCGGTTGACATTTCCATTAAAATGCATGAGGTTATCATGAATCGCTTCACCTGATGTGACGGAACTTGTTTAAAGTGGCACAAAAATGTCACATTATCCCTGTAGGGTAGAGCAGATAGCCTCCAGTGCCTTCCTCCTCCAGAATGGCAGCTCTAGTAATGCCCTGATATTTATGGCACATACATTTTTAATGCCCAGGACAAACGGTTCCAGCATTTGTCAACTCACTTGACCTGCAGCTTTTCAAAGAAAATACAAAAAGACATGCTGCAGAGCAAGAGCGAGCAATGTATAAAATACCTTGCCATCAGCACCCACCAAGCCAGGACCGATATAGGATGTTACAGCCATGGCCAACTCCCTCTGGCCATTCTTGGCCAAGATTTGCTAGCCCACTGCTGGAGCCTCCTCTTCTCACGCATCCCAACGTCCTCAGCCTGTGCCTATGGCTCCTCACTGCGAAAAAACATGCAGATCTGAGACTTGTGAGAAATCACCGCTGTTCAGCAGCCACCGGTGTTTCATCACCCAAGTCCTGACACATCTGAACTACGACTGCGGTGAATTCGGGAGCTCCTTCCCTTGACATTTTCCTAGATTAACACTGCAGCACCTCTAACCTAAGCCAGCTCTGAAACACAACCGACGCGAACAACTGCAGCAAAGAGGCCTGTCAGATTTGGAGACTGTGTCTGCAGCCACAGCGGTGCAATGTTTCTTGTGTAAATCAGAATTTACACCAGCGTAAAAGCCACTGTTTGAGCATCTCTGATTATATACGCTAGGAAAAGCTAAGCTTTCTCTGAAGAGAAAGCAAGCTCACAAACTTCAGGGGTTCATCTTTTGCCATGTGATTACATACATTCTACTGCACATTTTATAAACATGTCTATGTAATCGTGCGTTTTTATGTGTCTGCTGACCTTATGTGCCTAGCTTTGGTTCAGGACAAAGATGGCTCCTTCAAAATCGTGCCACCTGTTACTTTGCTGTAGTTTGCACCCTTTTCCCCCTCCCATTTAGGCTACCTATGAATAAACTATACACAAAATGCAGTCACGGGTGTCTCTACATGCTTGAAGACCTGGCCTGGCCTAAAGAGCGTTTCTGCTTAGTCTGCATTAATGGTACCGGTTTCCACATTGTGTTACATCCGGTGTTGGGTGCATCGGATGTGGAAGGACAGATTTAGTCATCCACCCCAGGTACATCCCACTCTGCTCCTGCCTGGTGCAAGGAAACGTGTCACCTACAGAGCAAACTCTTTGCCAAAATCCAAGCGTCATTGCTTTAAAATAAATGGAAGAAACACAACAGAAGCACCTTTCCAAAAATAAAACCTCCTGTCCATTGCGATACAAAAAGCAGAGTGCTCTGAGCTTAGGTCTCCAGCCAAGGTGTCCCATGTGTTTGCTTTATCTCTGATGTGCTCCTCTGTGACGGTCGTGAGAAGACCGTGCTCAACATCTCTATCCCGGTGTGCTCTTTGATCAGACGTGGATCAGCATATTGCAGGCACGTATGTTTATACACCACTTTGAAGACGAAAAGTGGCATGAAGTGATAGCAGCACCAAGTAAGAGCTGCCACAGCCTTTCCCAGGGCACGTGCCATTACCTGCTGGACCACGCGGGACAAGTCACACACCCACCTGCAGACACAGATCAATAAAAAGTAACAGAGCCGGCGCTCTGTGTGTGGCCGTGGGCACACCAGCTCACGCTGGACCGCTCAGCAAGGAACACCCCATCACCCCCAAAACCCGAGGGTTTTCCCTGGGCAAACGCTGAGTGGTGAAATGAACCAGCGGGATGCTGGAGCTGGAGAAGAGCAATACTGGAGACATAGAGGGAGGCGAGCGTGCAGCTCCGTGCCGGCGATGCCGATTCAAGCGGTGGACGCGTCTCCCGTTTCCTGGGGCGGTAAAAATATGACATGCATTAGCGAGGAGAATAAAAGGAGGGAAACAAAGGAGCGGGAGCGAACACCTGTCGCTCCCCTCGGGGACGAGCCCTAATGCTTTTATTTGCCTCGGCCTGCTGGGGGAACTGCAGCTGCCAACTGTCATCAGCATCAAGTTACCCGCACAAAGCCGGCCGGCCCGCACGGCTCGTTCAGCCAGGGCAGGCGGAGGGCTGCGACGTGCCCGGGGACCGCACCGAGCCA